TCTTGCAGAGGGCCACGTGCCCTAATGCCTACAATTTCATGGGTGATGGTCACTGGTTTGAGGACCAGAACAGTGATGGAAACCCTTTCACTGCAGAAACACTGACCTAATTGTTGTTGTGTTGGAAGCCAATTCCAGCATGTCAGCAGGGCTTAATCATCTGGAAATGGCTGAGGGCATTTTCCCAAACCTGAAAAGGATGCATAAAATGATTGCTTGCTGCCAGACAGCTGAGGCCATTTCAGTCTACATGTTATTGCCTCCTGCTAGCCAAACACCTGAACAGCTGAAGGCAAGTCCTCCAATCTGACAATGGATTCTGTATACCAAACCCTGGCCTTTGATATATATCTTTACTTTGCCTTAGGACAATTTGTGTTAATAAAATGCAAGGGGTCCTGAGACAAGAGAGAACTTGCTTTCTTTAGCCAAGCTCCTCTGGCCCTCAAATGCCTTCCAAAATTATGTTTTGTCTCTGGCATCTTTCACAATTTAAACACAGCGCCTTCTCCAGATTCCTGAACCCTTCTAGTAGCTGGATTAAAACCACTGGCATTGTTGGACCAGACTGCAGCCCATTAGATGAAATGGTCCTCATCTAACTGTGTATCCAGGAATTATTTTGAGGAAAAGACTACAAGAGCTGTGTGTACACTGATCTGAGTGACTCCAGGCATGTTTATTTTCTGTGGAGCAGTCATTGTCATTGATTATAATCAAGATGTTTTGTGGCTCCTGTAGCTTCTCAGATGTTCCCATCAGAGTACTGGCAGCAAAACGAAGATGGAGACAAAGATTGTCTTGTCCAGGGATGTGGCTTTTGTGGGTTTTGGTGAAAGTTCTTCATTGTTTGTCACTTTTTCTGTGACTGAGATGAGACTCTCGCCCAGAGGACATAAGGATAGGGATTGAATATAGAATTGACAAAGCTGTTTTTCCAAAATAGGTGAACGTACATTTCTTTTATCTTGAATCATTTTTTAACAGCTGTAATGAGTTAATTACATGTGTGAAGTATAGTGTTTCATAAATCTTGACAGGTGCATGAAACTGATACCAGCCTTATAGTCCTAATACTGACCATATCTGTAAGTGTGTAGTTGTTTCTTTTAAATGCAGTGAACGTGGGAAATCCTTTACCGCTAAGACCGACCTTCATCATCATCAGAGAGTTTATACAGAAGAAAAACCTTATAAATGCAGGGAAAGTGGAAAATCTTTTTTTTGGAGTCGTTTGTTGTGCTGCTTCACTATTTGATTGTATTTTTTCTAGGAATTTATGATCAGTCTTTTCTCAGAAGTGTGTTTGTTGAGTCTGTATCTTTGTTAAAACATCTTATCATATATTCTGCCTAATGTGCTGAGTTTTGGCAATTTTCTTTAACAATAGGATTGTGGAACAACAAAGATGGATGTTGGCATTTCACTCATTTTGTGCATTTTTATTTTAAAAATAAACATTTTTTGTATTGGAATGATATGTTTTAATATTTTTTCCTTAAAAAAAATATTTTAATTGCCCTAGCTGGTTTGGCTCAGTCCAGGGTGAGCTTCTAGTCAAGGGCAGGTGCCCAGATTGCGGGCTCAATCCCCAGTGTGGGGACTGCAGGAGGCAGCCAATCAATCATTCTCTCTCATCATTGATGTTTCTCTCTCTCTCTATCTCTCCGAAATCATTAATAACATATTTTCAAATATTTTAATTTATTTTACTAAATTGATAAGTATATTTAATTGATTTTTAAAATAGTTTTATTGATTTTGTAGACCAAGGGAGGTGGAGAGAGAGAAACAATGATAGGCGGGCGAGGGGGCTCAGTTGAGCTATGAATCAGGAAATCACAGTTCCATTACCACTTGGGGTATATGCATGGGCCCCTACTAGATCCCCAGGTGGGGCTTGCAGGAGGCGGCTTATCACTGATTCTCTCTCATCATTGGTGTTTCTATCTTTCTGTCCCTTTCCCTTCCTCTGTGAAATCAATAAAAAATTAAAGAAAATTGAGTCCCTTATCTTAAAAAAGAAAAGAAACATCAACTATGAGAGGGAATCATTGATCGCTGCTTCCTCCACACCCTACTGGGGATGGAGCCTGCAATCCGGGCATGTGCTCTGACTGGGAATCTAACCAAGGACCTCTTTGTGCACAGGTGGAAGCTCAAGCACTGACCCATGCCAGCTGGGTGAGTCATTACTTTTTAAATGCTATGCCCTGTGCAATGAATATTTTTAATTATAACCTGCACTACAAACATTCTCCATTGATTTCAGAACACCAGTCATCTGATCCTGCAGTAAGCCCTTGCTTTGTCGTCTCCTGCATTTTCCTTGTCTCCTGTCATGGGGGTTCTTGGGTTGGAACTGTTCTCTCAGAAGGCCAGAGGGCATCTGGGTGAGCAGGGGGCTTTAGAGTCCCAAAGCCAAGGCAACGGGAAATAAATGGGTAGTGATCAGATTCCCTATGCCCTGGATCAGGCATCCTCCATTTGAATTTCAGAATCTCTGTTATCACTGGGACTTACAGTGAAATAACCCCTTCTGCCCTTACTGGTTTGGCTCAGTGGATGGAGCATTGGTCTGCGGACTGAAGGGTCCCAGGTTCGATTCCAGTCAAGGGCATGTACCTTGGTTGGGGGCACATCCCCAGTGAGGGGTGTGCAGGAGGCAGCTGATCGATGTTTCTCATTGATGTTTCTAACTTTCTATCCCTCTCCCTTCCTCACTGTAAAAAAAACAATAAATGTTTTTTTTAAAAGAAATAACCTCTTTTCCTGGTCTAAGTCAGTTTCCTCCTGTGAAAAACAAGTATGAGGTAAGTCCCCATGCCGGAGCTATTGGAGAAGGTCCAGTGGTAAGGTGTCCACTTGTGTAACCTGTGCCTGCAGCCTGCCTTGGCTCCAGCAACTCCAGCCACTCCCTGCAGAGACATTCCCAGGAAGGCACTTCTCACTCCCCCGATGCCCGCCAGCACCTTTGTCTTTGGGTGCATTTTAGTGAGAAATGGGACCTATAAGGAGCCACTGACTCTGCTGCAGGGAGGCAGGTGCTGTGGGCACTCAGGTGTCATTGTAGTGTGTCCCATTTCAAATTGCTGAAAAAGTTCATTGACAGAAAAATGAAGTAAGGTCTCCAAGTTAACACCACAGACAAGTGTCAGATTCAAGGGGTTGGATTTTTAACTATTATTTTCCCCAGTGTCAGACACAGTCCCTACCTCTGATGTGCAGCGCTCACTGGAGCAGGTACAGTCTGAGGACCAGGGTGGCTCAGCTGCAGCTCCTGTTTCCATAGTTGCAGTTATGTGTTTCCTCCCATTCCCTTTACATCTCAGAGCACATACCCATGGCCTCCCCGTGTTCAGGGGAACGCCATCATTTCTCAGCTGCAGTGGCTTCTCCAGGGGAACCTTCTTTCAGAGTGAGCTGTAATTTCTCTGCCTCCCCTTTGGTCTCAGCACAGATTTTGACACACAGGAGACCTTGGTTATTAGGGCTGGGTCTCTGCACCTTGTTGTTGTGTCAAATATTCACTTTTAACTATTGGAGAACATTTTAAAAAGAAGATTTTGTCTATTTTTTTTCATTTTTTTAAATATATTTTATTGATTTTTTACAGAGAGGAAGGGAGAGGGAGAGGGATAGAGAGTTAGAAACATCTATGAGAGAGAAACATCGATTCAGCTGCCTCTTGCACGCCCCCTACTGGGGATGTGCCCGCAACCGGGGTACATGCCCTTGACCGGAATCGAACCTGGGACCCTTCAGTCCGCAGGCTGACGCTCTATCCGCTGAGCCAAACCGGTTAAGGCTTCATTTTTTTTTAATCCCAGAGATTTCCCTCCTCATTCCCCCCACTCTAATTTATCACCAGTGAATTTCATGTAACTCCCTTATGTCTTCTCCTTTGAGTCTAATGTATAATAAAGGTGCAAAACTGTTGTTCTCAAGAGCATTACTCAATCTGCTGTTACTTTGCTTCCTGGCAAATGTTGCGGACTTTGGTCAAATAAACATAGAAAAATTCTCCACAGGTTTGGAGATTTCTTACAACAACACCAAAAGCATTTTGCTTCCTGGCAAATGTTGCCGACTTTGGTCAAATAAACAGAAAATTCTCCACAGGTTTGGAGATTTCTTAAAACAACACCAAAAGCAATTGACTCATGTGAAGCAGGAGAACGTTACATGGAGGAGTATCAGCATCTCCAGGGACTCAACTGCCTGAAGACAGATTTATAAACACAAATTTAGAGCAGACCCAGAACCCAGCAAGCTAGAGCAGTGGTTCTCAACCTGTGGGTCGCGACCCTTTGGTGTGAAATGACCCTTTCATAGGGGTCGCCTAAGACCATCGGAAATCACATATATAATTACATATTATTTTTGTGATTAGTCACTATGCTTTAATTATGTTCAATTTTTAACAATGAAAATACATCCTGCATATCAGATATTTCCATTACAGTTCATAACAGTAGCAAAATTACAGTGATGAAGTAGCAACGAAAATAACTTTATGGTTGGGGGTCACCACAACATGAGGAACTGTATTAAAGGGTCACGGCATTAGGAAGGTTGAGAACCACTGAGTTTGAGCTTTCTCCTTGCTTCCAGAGAACAGAAGAAAATGCTCAAGGCTCAGGTGGCTTTGTTTGGTGTGTGTGTGTGTGTGTGTGTAAGTGTGTTTTTCATTAATCCTCACCCAGGGATGTTTGTTCTCTTTTTTTTTTTTTTTTTACCCTCCCTCGCCTTCCATCTGAGATTCTGCACTCTCTTCCAAGTCTCTGGATCCACTCCATTCTTCAGTTAATTTTGTTAATTAGGTTCCATCTATGTGTGAGATCAAGTGATGCTTTTCTTTCTGCGACTCACGTATTTCACTTAGCACGATGCTCTCCAGGTCCCTCCATGCCATGTGAAAGGGTTCTTACCCTTTTTTTACCACTGCAAAGCATCCCATGGTGTAAATGTACCACAGCTTTTTTACCCACTCATCTACTGATGGGCACTTGGGCTGTTTTTAAATCTTAACTATTGTAAATTATGCTGCTATGAACATAGCGGTGCGTACATTCTTTCTGATTGTTGTTTCAGGTTTCTTAGGATATATTCCTAGAAGTGAGATCTCAGGGTCAAATGGCAGTTCCATATTTAATTTTTTGAGGAAACTCCCTATGTTTTCCATAATGTCTGCACCAATCTCCATTCCTACCAGCAGTGTACTAGGGTTCCCCTTTTTCCACTTCATCGCCAGCACTTGTCCTTTGTTGAAGGTAGTCATTCTGACAGTTGTGAGGTGGTATCTAATTGTTGCTTTAATTTGCATCTCACTGATGATCAGTGTCTTTCACCATTTTTTCACATGTCTCTTAACCATCTTATCCACATTGCAGCCCAGGCAGAGCTGACAGTTCAAATGGCCCCAGAAAGTAGATGCTCTTAAATATTGATGTCTGTTTTTGAGACATTAACTTCATACAATGGAGGCAGGTTAGATGAGTTAGACACTTGAGCAACCTCTGCAAGTGGCCTGAAAGAAGACACAATGCCTGTCATTCAGAAAAGAGCTGGTCCTGAAAAAAAAATACAGTGGGGCCTTGACTTACGAGTTTAATTCGTTCCGTGACAGAGCTCATAACTCAAATTACTCGTATGTCAAATCATTAAAGTGAACGAGTGAGACAGGTGATTCTGGGCTGATGTGGCGTAAGCAGATGCTCTTAAATAGTGATGTCTGTTTTGAGACATTAACTTCGTTCAGTGGAGGCAGGTTAGATGAGTTAGACACTTGAGCAACCTCTGCAAGTGGCCTGAAAGAAGACACAATGCCTGTCATTCAGAAAAGAGGAGGTCCTGAAGAAAGATATGCAAAACCAGCAGCTAAAGGAAGCCAGGCAGGTGCCTCAGAAACAAACTTGCCCTAGAAATCCCCTCCCCTGAAGGCGCTGGAGGGCCCTGAGTATACTTGGTGTTTTCTTGGGCTAATTGCCATCAAAACCAGTCCTGGAGTCAGCTAAGGAAATACAGGATCCTGGCCTTGGAGCCTAGGAACTACATTACCCAGAAGGCCGCGCGCGGAATGCCACCAGGCTGAGCCAATGGAAGCTCAGAGAAGGCGTTTCCGTGTTTCAAGTTCTGGTGGGCGGGACCGGTAGTCTTTTCTCCATTTTGTCTGAAGCGGTCGGCGGTACCTGGCTGAGTCCCGTGGAGAAGGTTGGAGAGTGCTTTTCCCCGCCTCGCAGCCAATGGTGGGGGCCTCCAGTGGTGCTCACAGCGCACACGTGGGATTGAAGCTCGGAGTTGCCACCAGACCCGCCCAGGACCGGGACAGGGACCGCCGTTCCTGCAGCGGCTTCTGCTCCCGCCCCGCTCCGACTACCGAGTGCAATGGAGGCGCCGGTGCTGAGGAGCTGGGCTGAGGTGAGTTTGTGTCCCCCAGGCCCTCACCGCCACTCACACCGAACAGGAGAGCCCGGGTGCAGGCGCCTGTCCTGCAGCTCAGTCCCGCGTGGAGGACCGTGAGGAAGGTGGAGGGGAGAGAGGAGTGTTGTGGCTTCTGAGGACACAGCAAGTGCAGGGCAGAGAGGACAGGGGTGACTTGCATCTGAAGGTCCCTGAGGATGTGGGCTGTGAGTATTGACGGAAAGATCGGAGGCTGCAGGGAGGACGTCATAGACTCATTCGGGGCTTTCCCGGGTGTGGGGTCCATCAGGGGCCTGGGGTGGGCCTGGATCCGGCTGGACTACAAGCTCTCTACACGCCATATGCCAAGTTCATGGGCGAGTCCAGTGAGATCCAGCGGCATTGGAGCAGGAAGGGGACAGAGCTGGGGAGTGAACCTGGGGTCTGAACATGGGAAGGGGATGAACATTACCCAGTGGTGTGCACATCTGGAGGAAGTGTGAGCTGATGGTCCCGGGACCTGGTGTGGGGACTTAAAGGGGAAGCATAAACCGACGCTTGGCTTTGTCTTGGAGGCCGGATCTAGGAGACTGCAGTGGTGTTGCCTGGCAGGAAGGCTGGGGCCCTGCAGGGATCGCCCAGACCTTAAATGGCATTGCCCTCTACCCTCCCCTCCCTCAATCCTTCCTACGGAACCCAGCTGCTCAGCTGAGGGCAATCACATTGAGTAATGGGACTGTGATGAGAGAGCAGCCTGCACTGGCATTAGGGTCTGGTGTCCACACTAACCGGGTGCCCTGGAGGAGGTTGAGGGGGGAAATGTGTGTAAGGAGTAGGATTACTGGTTCTCAGAAAGGCAGGTCTGGTTACAATTGTCTCCATTCTGACAGGTTGGCGTGACCTTTGAGGACATTGCCCTGTACTTCTCCAGGGAGGAATGGAGCCTCCTTGATGAGGTTCAGAGACAGCTGTACCTGAATGTGATGCTGGAGAACTTTGAACTTATATCCTCGCAGGGTAAGACCAGTGACCTGGGCTTGGCTTTGCCATTTCCCATGCCCCATCCCCCAGTGTGTGCTCTGTTCTCCCAGGTAGACTGTGGTACTGATTGATTTTCCAGTTTCCGGGGTAGTTGCTGTCCTGGGGAGGGTTGGTCTGTTTCCACTGCTCCCTTCTATTCCTGAAGCTCCAATACTCCCCGCTGCACTAACTTCACAGGGAAGGACCTTTGGTTGGTAGTGTGATTGGAAGCCTAAGGAATTCCACCTTGATCAGTGAGGAAAGCGTTTTCTATATTCATGTTGGACATTTGTACCTATTTTTTGACGAATTGTCTCTACATCCTTATCCTGTTTATTAACTATATTTTGGTTAAAGAGTCTTTTGAATACTTTGTATATTTTATATATTAATTGCTTACTAAATACAGGAGCACAGATTTTTGCATGTGCTTAATTGTTCTTTGCAAGTATTGCTCCCCACACTCCTTTTTTTAAAAAAAAAATATTTCTTTATTGATTTCAGAGAGGAAGGGAGAGGGAGAGAGAGATAGAAACATCAATGATGAGAGAGAATCA